TTGTTAATATTACACTAATTTAAAGTCCAGTTTGCTTTCTTTGTTTAGCTCAGTATGCAATATATTTTTACTTTGACACCAACATGAAGCCTCTCCATTTCCAAAAAAGAGACAGGAAACTACCTACTAACTTCAAATTTGAAACTGAAATCAACATTTAATCGACCTGGCAACATTTAATCCACACATTAATTCAAAATAATGGATGCTATTAAGAAAAAGAAATTAAGGCTGTGAGAATAATTACAGTAAATACTTAATACCCTTGTTTTTTAATTCATATGGTCCACATTATAATGAATGATAACATTTAGAAAAATGCTGCTTTTACCAGATTCCTAGTGAAGTTTATAAGAGAGGAAGTATTGGAAGATACTTTACTTCTGAACTGTATCCCCCAGCAGTAAACTGAATTTTTCTCTTTGAATCAGGTAAAGATTTCAAAGCTTGTACATGCCAAGTTCCATTTGAGTTCATAAACTTGACATTATATGGAAGAGACGATCAAGGATAGAGGGCATATAAACACAGTTAAGAACACTTAACATAGGAACCTCTGATTGGCCAACTTTTCATTCTGATCACTTGTAGAATAAGGGCAGTAATAGATATTTCCCTTTTGCACGAAGTAATAAGAGCTGCAGTTATCGCTTGTAGCCTCCAGCAAATGGCAAAAGGAAATTAGAAAAGTCCAATGAAGCTGAGAAGTAATTAATCATTATACAGTGCAGCCTGTCAAAATATAGGGTCTTTCAGCTGATAATGCTGCCCAGCACAATTTAGGCTCATAGAAATTACATTATTTTCCTCTGGCAAAACAAAAAAGACCCAGTTAGCACAACTGCTGCCAACTATTTTATTTATATCTGTCCACTCATTGCGAAAATCGTATCAAATGCTTTACTTGCGTATTCTCTGAAATTTTCTAAACCCTAGCTTGTTATAAAAACATCCGCTTAATCTCAAACCGTGCAAAAAGTTGAAATAGAAAGGAACGTTACATTATTCTTATAATTTCCTTGAAGTAAGAAATGTTCAAAACAAGAAATTTTCATTTAGTTATCATAAAGACAATTAGTTTCCCAATGTAATCCATACTATAAGCTAAAATGTTTGAGTGTAACTTTCCTCATTTATCTAGTTAGCAATTGGTGTTAACTATTATGCTACTTAATACGTAAAGGTCAAGAATGCAGCCAAATATATTATGTTGAGATTGTTACTTTTACTATTTACATCTATTCACATAAATTGTTTGCACACTGTGTAAAAGCTAAATAATTGGGGTGAGCTTAAAAACCCTCCTCTGATACCAAGGTTAGGGTGAGCAAACATTGCACTTACACATTGAAATGGAAGATGAAAGGCAGCCATCTGCCCTTTAGTGGTTAGAAACCCTTATCTACTAACTAGACTCTTTACTGATTTGCAAAAGCATAAGTGAGCTGCACCAAGCGGCATGTTCAAAGTGTTTTTTTTAAAGATAAATGCAATCAAAATGTCTGTCCCTTAAATTATTTGGACAAATATGATATCTTCGTGGTCCCCACACCTGCAGCCCTCATCAAACAATAATTTAAAATAGACCTTATCTGTTCATTTGATTATAACATTAAAGGGGTACCACCATCATGAAAAATGGTTTGAAAAGCCTTTTTTCATTTGTATACGAACAAGCAGCTCAGTAAATCACATTGGAAAGCTTAACATTTCTAGAACAAAATAAAACAATGTTATCTTCAGACTGAATTTGTTTGATCAGTTCAGTTTTGTTGCAAATAATTCATGATGAATATTTCTCCACCAATATTTTTTATCTTCAACTTCAGCGTTAACAATTCATGCCTATTTATATTCCATATTAAACACTTGCCAACTTCACAGCCAAACATTGCTTTCAGTGTTTTCAGATTATTAGTGGGGCTGAGGGTAAATTTGATACTAAAATGATTGGCACATCAACCTCACACACTGTAAGTAGCCACAGAAATGTAGCTTTTGGCTCCCCCCAAGTTTGTTCAAGTTTCAGAGCTGAGATTCTTAGATCCGAGCTGTGCATTTGATTTTTGACAGTAGGAGATACAAAAAATGTATAATCTACATTTGTGAACCTTAGTTTATTATGTCAAGGTAAACTTCATTAACCAAACTTATTAAATTAATGTATCCATTAGAAGAATTACCATATCTGCATCAAGTATATAGTATCGACACAAGGCTGAAGTACGATTTCACTAATTAGTATTATGCATGAAAAGTTCTTGCTACCGAAATAATTAATTTCTTTATATTTGTTTGTGAGGCTTATTCATTTCAGCTGGTGATTTAATGTCCTTTACAACTGATAGCGAATACATTTTGAAATGATTTGTTTATGAGCACTATGGAGTAAATTTCAACCATACACTTCAACTCAGTGAATTTTTATTCTCTGTGTCTTACCTTTCATGATGCAAAGGCTGGATCCTGGAGCAAAAGGTCGGTCAAAGCAGCTGTGTTTCCCACAGCAGCAAAGCGAATCCGATCATGTACCAGTGGATCAAGCTGTAAGCATTGGAAAAGGGATAGGGATTGGAAGTATGAAGTTTAAAGATTTAAGAATAGTTGGAAGGTGACAAGAGTTAAGCCACTTAAAGATCAATGCAAAAAAATGTAAGCAGAATGCCAGCAAGAATGATAACAGCAGATAAAGAGGTAGGAGATGAGGATGATAGATGTTTTTAAAGACTGAATTTAATTGTTCTCAACTAAATAATTCTCTTACGTCTTAGAAGATGGATGTTAAAAACTGCATAACAGAAGGTTAAGCCTACAACAGACACAGGTTATAAAATACAACACGATCAAAGCCAAAATTTTGAGACGTATATGTTCACAAATGATGATAAATCAGTCCCAGAAGAACTGTAAGAAACATACAAATGTAACTACAAGAGGGAGAAAGTCAAGGGTTGAAAAAAGGAGAGGGAAGAAAAGAGTGGAAACAAATGTTGAAGTTAATTTTAATGATCCGGTGCACAGGTCAAATGATTTAGTCTCACAGAAGAAAATCAGACAATAATATAGAAAAACTCTGCAGTAACTGGAATAAGGAGGCAATTGTTGGTTTGACAGCAGGGAATTGCTGTGATAATTTGATCTGCGCTCTGTTAATAAATCACTGCACCATTTCTTCTAGTTTAGTATCTGTTTATGCTTCTACAAATTGAAACCCCACTGGCTATGCACTGCAGAACAACATTCAGTGCAATAACACATAGGCTTGTCGATTAGTTCAAGGTGGAGAAAGATTAGTCGACCATCCCAAATCTACAGTTACTCCTTCATATTTTGTCTTTCCCTGCTGAGGTAAAGGGGCTCAGACATATGTAAGTAATAAACTAACAGGCCTCCATCTCCTAGGGGTTGACTCAAAGGAATGCAGAACAGACCTATAAAAATATAATGGACAGCAAGGTAGAGCAGTCTAACAGCAACACAAAACCACATCTGTACAGCTATGTGGGGATGCAACACCAGGATGCCCGTAAGTTTTGAGATGTAATAGTGCCCTTTTGCGACCCTGAAACATACTGTTAGAGCTATGACTTGCCAATGTATAGAACTGACAAGAGATCAAAAGCTTGATAAATTGAGGAAGGGGAGATGTTTGACCTGATACAACACATCCTACAAGAAACCAGGCTCTTAAAACAATAAAGAAAGTAATAAATAATCATGTTTAGAACAAATATTAAAGGTACACATGAGTAACTTGTGGCAGTTTTTACTTATATTTTAGTGAAACCATTCAAATCAGTTGCAATGCAGCTGACCGTTTTAGTTTATAAATGTTTAGTTGAGTTTTTTAATGGATTTAAATACCTTATTTTCAGTTCAGAGCAGAAAAACTTCATTCATAGGGATCCATACAATCATTTTCATGCATAGAGCTTTGACTATAAAGTATTGAGCACACAGATATTCCAATTACACCAGTCCTGTTTTCTAAAGATTCTTTTAAAAAAATGAAATTTGCATCTTTTAGCTTCTCATATTGCTTTGTGGAATGTTCTACACAGTCCATGGAGCTAGTTAAGTGATGCTGATTTGAACTAATCTAGTGCATGCAGTGCTGACATCTAAAAGTGCTTTTTTTTACAAATATGATGAAAGGGCACTTGAGAACATATCTATGAAGCTACTTAGCTGGCATTGAGGGGTTTTTCTGCTACCTAAATAGTTACTATGCTGCATACAATAAATGAATATAAATGAAAAAGAATCCTTATTTTACAGTTTATGTCTGTCTAAAATACCATAATGCAAACAAAAATAATCATGAACATAGCAACATTAGTTCATTTAAAAAACTTATCAAGAAATGAAGGGAACTAACAATCAAAAGGCAAGATGTAAAAATCAAATGCCTGCTGGGAGGAGAGCTCTTTGTTCTGTAACCCCATTAGAACATCCATGAAATAAACACTGACAACATGTTGCTCAGTCAACAAACAGAACATGATTGATGGTGACAATATGTGGCAAGAATTGAAAAAAAAACTGTCTTTCTTTAAAACGCTCCTCCACCACGTGCAGAAATACAAGTAGGGAAACTTTCAACCACGGAATGTGTCTCCCAATCCGGTATTAATTCTCCCATCCCTTTAAGGATCATTTCCCTTCAAATCTGCCTTTCTCTAAATTGGATAGTCGCCCCATGTTACTGCCGACAGCATTCTTCCCCATATCAGGAAACTGAATCCAAAGACACTTTCACACACTAATGATGATAAATAGTGAAATTTTGAATTATATTACAAGGTCACTTTTTTCATCAGCGTTTCACTGCGAGATCAGTTTTCATAGGAGAAAGCACACAAAATTGAGTGAGCGATTTTATGTCATTAACAACCCAGAGAAGTCTCAAGGCTATCATTGTTCCTGTACTCGATTTGTTGAATGATAAAGAACTGTTAATGAAAATTAAGCACACAAACACATCAATCCTGTCTGAGCCAAGAAAATCCTCAGGCAATTCGTTATGAATATATGTTTCTGGTCATTTACAAGTCAAAAAAATTGAGCAGGTACAGAACAAAATTATTTTACAATTTTTAGATCTTTATTCTGAATTGTTGGTTGTTTTAATTTACTCTGCAATCCATTATGATGTTCTCTGCTATCTATAAATTATGTTCATTTCAACAAGAAAGTAGAAAGCTCACTTGTGCTTAAAAAATTGCTACTGACATATTTTCATTTATGTCTCAGCAACATAACAGACATATCATGCTAAAATAGCTTTATACGAACTAATCTAGAAATACAAGTATTGGTCATTGTTGGGAAACTAATCATTAGAGCATTGCAAAAATTAAAGCTAACTATGCACTCAAATGAAAAATCTCATTCATTTAGTTCTAGAAGGAAAAGCTATTGTTGCATTTTGAATGTTGTGCTTTAATATTCAATTGCATTGCAGGACTAAATTGGTATTTGCAAGGGGAATTCCTCTGAAGTCTCATTTAATTCATAGATAAATAATACTGTACAAGTTTGCAATTGTCCAAACTTCATGTAGCTTTGGGGGAGAAAAAGTACAATAGTACAAAAGTACTATTCTTTTGAATTTGAATAAGAATGACAATCAACTAGTCAAAACATTGACGGAAATTCTTCATGCCAAAACGTAGTGTAATTTCTGGTTTCATAAAAAGTTGCTTGTTTTGATTGAATTAATTACCATATTTACATGAGTTTTTGGCTTTATGAGACCTTATCAAATCACAAATTAATACCTGTGGTGTATCCTTAGCTCAGATCTAATTGATTCAAATGAAAATGTTGTGTTTATCTGATTTCACTTTATGGAAACAAGCAGATTGTTCTGAAAGGATATGATATAAAATATTTCTATTTTCCTTGTATTATGTTTTTCCTTTGGACTCTGAAAATGCATTCCATGCTATACAATTATCGTCGTGTGCATCACTAACACATTTTTCTGCTTTATCAAAATAGGAAAAATAGATTTAATAAATTCCAGTCAAGCACTGGAGGGTATTTTTTAATTTGCTTCAAGAAGTGTGAGGAATAAGTTCAGAAAATAGCCCAAGACAATCGGTGTTAAAATTGCTTGTTACAGGGAACTACTGTAACTCCTGCTGTGTTTTATTAGTCAAATGTAAAATTAACAACAGTGGAGAGCCATAATAGTTGGTTAGGTTGGTTCCAACACAAATTTCCAATTTGAGGTCAGGTGGATACTCAATAAAATTTTATTGCTGTGGTCGTAAGAAATGCTGTGGATAACTGCAAGTAAACTTGCTTTTAAACAATATCTGTTTTGATATGAACACACAAGATTGTATGAGCCTTGATAAATTGTGAATGATTACTAAGAAACTATAAGGCGTATATGTTTCACCATAAAACATATTTGAAACCCACTGAACGATGATATAATATTTTGGAGTTAGGTTTAAACTATGAAACTACGAAATTGGATCCATGAAGGATAGCTCTCAGCCATGCTAATTGTGAGAGAAATGTAAAGGCTTGCTTTTCACTGTGAGACAGGTTGTTTGGAAATGCTTTGCAGCTGACGGTAATGGTATGCAAAAGTCTTAAATGATTCTTCTCTGAGAAATGCTTACATACATTATGCTGCAGCTCTATAATATTTTCAACTTTTTTTTGCTCAAACCTGAAGGATCTTGAGAACAGAGAAAGAGGCGATTTGGTTATACTGTCAGAGATTAGCTTTATTTTCCACATAAGAGAGCGTTTAGAGTTTTGTTATGCAGCTTGCTCCTCAGGCCCAAGGATAATGGCATTAGAGCCATTTTGCAGGCAGCAGGGTCCTGTATATGAGGCCCTGATTTAAGTAGCTTCATGCTGTGTGAGTGTCAAAGTTCTTGCCTGTTTTTAGGTGACAGCGTAAGAATTTAGCAACACAGTATGGCCCAAGAGGAATTATCAATGATTCCATTAAAATCACTAATAATCTTTATTTCTGAACAAACAGCCCACTTTCTTTGCAAATACATATGAGTTTACTTAGTTTACTGTTAAATTTTGCATTAAACAAAAAAAGTTTAAAAGTTTCTGTGATCCAACTCTACTCCCTGGATCATCATCAAATTTGGTTATGCTTCATATCTTCAACAACCAGTGGACATTATCCTGATAAAGGTCACTACTGTCAGGTTGGAAGGTCTGCTAACACAGATCAGAAACTGCCTGAAAAACACAAAAAGCAGTGTTGCTCTGTTGGTAGAATTCCCAAGTAACAGTGAACTCCAAGAATAAGGCCATAATGGAAATGTATCACAGCACACTAGTAAAAACAGACTGTAATTTGATACTTAAATAATGTCTTAGTGGTCATTTCTTTTATGGTATGAGTTCAAGATTTTTTGAGTATAATCCACATGCAGTTTAGAGGTATTCCAGACCACCAGTGGACACCAGTTTAATTTATTGTGTTATGGTGCAACTTGTACGAAGCAGTTTTAATACTTTTTGCAGCTACAACCCATCAAAAGGGAAAAGTGTTGATTTCACATTTCAAGCCACTGCATTAAAGCTACTCAATGGATAAACATCTAATTCAACCATTCACAAGTGTTAAAAGCTGTATGTATTTGCTACTTAATAGGTTGCCAACTACAAGATATGCTTAGCACGCAGCTTGTTGCTGAGTATTAATAAAAGTCACATACATAATTCAGAGCCCTATAACACATGTAAGCATCGGAAGCTGGGAATCCTCTGTTGTCATTCCAGAAGTCACAACTTCCTTACAGTATAAACTAAAGAGCAGACAGCCTGAATAGACCCCCTAACAATCTTGTTTGTGTAAGCAATCTGACCATCATCCTGGTCATTCTTCCTATCCTCAACCCTTCACAGTAAAGGCTTCTATTCTTGATGCAGCCTTTCAAACCATCAGCTTTATTCTTGGAGAAAGCACCACTTTTGTGCTGTTAGTTGTGTTAAAAGGCAGATTTGTATTGGTTCCTGTAGACTCTTAAGGAGTGAAGTAATGAAAACTCCCCACCCTATGGATACCAATGTTTATTGAAAGATAAAATGTGAAGAGCTGCTGTGGGTCTCTAACAGAAGGTCTTTGTCCCTCAAATGCAAATGAATCGGAGAGAAAAAATAAGCTCAGACAATGAGCAGCATGAAGAATCCATAGAGACTAGACAGCCCTTTAACCGACTGTGGTTATATTGTTTGGCTATGTTTCTTACATTCTTTCTAGTATACAAAATACTTCACGTTGACAACAGCTGCATATTGTAAACCTTCTATTTATTTATTAGGCATTTAATTTAAGGCATTATTTAAATTCTGTCAGTTGTCAGAGTCTTTATTCTTCAACATTGAAACTGTGTGTTTTTGGACTCAATAATTAGAAATTTCACACCTTTGATCAGTAGAAAAAGTCTGAAAGTGAAAAGCATAGTTAAGGAGTAAAAGAAAGGTGCACTTGTAAAGATATACTAAAATAAAAGACCATTGTTAACTTAGTTTACAACTACTGAAAAATACAGAAGTCCAATGCAAATTTTAAAATTATACCGAAGAATTTTGGATTTGCTGTATGATCTACATTTGTTCTCCTCTATATAAATAAAATTATGTATTGTTACAAGCTATATCAAAAAACAGTATTAAGCTCTCACATTTTCTTTTAGATTTGTGGATGAAGCACCATATGAAATCAAGTGAGTTATGTGGAGTCAGCAAAGCAGATGTACTTTTGAATCTTAAGAACTGTTCACAGATCATGGACTGACATTAATAGCAATTTTTGAACAGTAAAGGAATTTGGGTTATGGTGAGTGGGTGGGTAAGCGGAGCTGAGCCGATGAGAAGATCAGCCATGATCTTATTGAATGGCGGAGCAGGTTTGAGGGGCCAGATGGCCTACTCCTGCTCCTATTTCTTATGTTTTTTATGTTCTTGTAAAAGTTTGTGAGCATTTTTTTTATCTCCGAAACAGGTCAATCTGTAAATTCTACTGATTGATCTCAGGCTGAGTCATGCTGCCTCCTGATACATCCTTCTGACCTACATTGCCTTCCCGTTTTCCAATATTAAATTTAAATTTTTTGTCTTCATCCAAAGGGCACCACCCCCGCCCATGTAACATTGCCCCACTTTTCTTGGCAAACTGCAATGGTTCTGTACATATCCCACATCAATTCCCTTGAACTATATTCCTCCTCCTGCAGCCCACCATGAGTGCTGGATCTGCAGTTGATCTATGGCACTCCTCCTTAAATCTTCTTGGGATCTATCTACAATTTTCAAAACCGTCTTCAAAATCCATCTCTTTCACAAAGCTTTCAGTCATACTCTTAATCTACCCCCTTGGTAGGGAGTCCATTTCTCTTATGCCTAGTATTGAAGCAGTTTGAGAAAAGCAAGGTTAATAGAACTCTATAAATGCAAACTGTCTTTTAAATGGTGATTTCATGGAGAAGAATATATTAAAAATGTATCAAAATATGTATATCTGACCTAGATATATGTTTGAAACTGTCGAAGAAGGGATATATATTTCATTGACCTTATAAAATAAGTGTTTCAGCTTGTTGCACTCCTACTTTGTGAACTACACTGTAAAGGCATCAGATAAAATGACATGAAGTACTGAATGTGCACCAAATCAGTACAGAAAATGATGTTCAATATACCGAAACATCTTCTGTGAGAAAGTACCTAAGTGCTTGTTGTGACTACAGGAACCAAAGGTCATAACTATGCCACAAATGAGGTCTCAGACTGAAAATACAGCAAATTACTCACAATAGATGAAGCTGTCCTCAGTCTTCATGTGATTTTGTTTCCAAATACCATTAAACCACCAAATGATAGAGACATTGTGCATTGAATGCTTCATTCTTTATGCTCATGATGACAGTCCATTTTTACAGATTTACACAGCACTCCTACGACCCTTCTAGGTTCTCACCTTATTTTTCTTTCAATTGAAGGTGCAATGGTGAATGCAATGAGGATGAAAGATGACCAAATCAAACAAAGGGGGGCAAATTTTGCTTAAAAATTAACAGTTTCTGAATAATATACACAATTATTACACGCAAAATGATCAGCAACTGTGGCAAAGAAGAAATAGTTTCAACTGTGAATCACCACGAGTTGGCAGCCCATTTGTGTTGTACTCCGCCATTAGCTTTGTGAAAATGAGAACTTGTGGTTAACCTCTCCATGATTTTCACTACCCATCAAACAAGCCATACAAAATTACATCTAATAACAGTGCAAGCAACAATTATCATATCTTTAAAAGGGTAATGATTGCCAATTAATCTCTCATATCCAGCTTTGTGAATTGTTGCAGGAGATTTTTACCACATCAATTTTTATGTTTTTTTATGTTTTTTTCAAACACTCTTTTAAACCAACCATCTCTCTCTCTCTTTTTTCTCTTTTGCATTCAACATTAAACTTACCGTCTCTAATCCACACCACTTCACTGTCCTTCCTGAATTTATTAGTAAATTTTTAAAATTTTATTGATACTACTTTGTGTGCCCATCTCCATTCCTGCCACCCAGAGACAGATAAAATTCAGACCAATATTTCAAACAATGCCAGGGCTTGGAGTTTACCCCCTGTTTCTTCCCATCTACAGTGTCTATGAGCACTGAATGTGCTTAGTTCACCACCTCTGAAAATCTAAGTCTGTTTCTTATGAAGGACTTGCAGAGACAAAGATTTGATTTGTGAAGGAAGGCTCATGCTGAGGTTGTATGAACATGTTCACACACCAAAATATTTTTCTCAGAAAAAAGCCTTGATCAATGTTTGTCTAACTGTTAAATTCACAGTGATTGTTTTATCAATGTGCTGTCCATCCATCTCCTCCTAAAATAACAGTCCATTTCCAAAATCCCATCCCTCTCTAAATTTCTTGAATGCATTGTCACCCGAAATCCATGTCAATCTTGTTCTAACCCTTTGTTTGAATCTTTCCAATTAGGTTTCCACCCTGCCACTCATAGAAAGATATAGAAACAAAGTCAGGAACTATATAATTTGTAAATTTGGTGATTCATCTCTCCTCATCCTTATAAACCTTTCTTCAGCCTTTGATACAATTAGTTGGTCACATCATCCTCCTCGAACATCATGTAATTTTTTTGTGTCGAGAGCCACAGATACCCAACATAGGCAATTGAGAAATTGTAGGTATTTTTAAGGTAGTTTATTACATTTATTAAGAAGCAACAGCTTAGATCTGATGCATTAAGTAAATAGACAGGAATAGTTAATGACTCCTGATCATTCAGAACAGTTGATTGGTCCCAGAGAATAAATGAATGGTTGGCACAATATGTGCCATAGTTGCTTGTTAGTAATCTGCTCTCAAGCCAAAATGTTAGAGATCTCTCTCCCCGCAGCTCCACCAATCTTCCTCCATCTTGTCTGGACTTTATTCACCTGAAGGTGGCTGCCTGATGGTCAGTTAATATACTTTATTTCAGCTCAGTGGGGCTGTCCTCACTTGCTTCTAGTTCCTATCTATCCAATCATAACCAGAGTATCTGCTGCAATGACTTCCTCTTGCTGGCCTCTGCACTGTTACCATTGGGTACTCCAAATATGAATTGTTGGTCCTTGGTTGTTTATCAACTATATACTGTTCATAGGGTCCAATTCCACATAAAAGCTGAGGAAATACAGTGCTACCTCTTCATTTCCTCTTTGGCCCTTGCTGCATTATTAACCTGCTTGTCCAACATTGAGTTTTGGGTGAGTGAGCTACAGTTTCTTCCAGTTAAGTAGTGGGAATTCTCAAGCCTTTGCGACAAACTCTGTCCCTATGACTGATTTTATTTCCCTTATTGACCATTGTATCAGACTGAGGTCAACTGGCTGGCACAGAACTAAACTTCCAACTTCATAATCTATATATCACAAAGACCATCTACGCCAAGCTCTCTAACATTATCTCAACCCTTTTCTATTTCTAGCCTTTTCTATTTTCAGACTAACTATTCCAGTGTTCTCCAGGCCAGTCTGCATTCATAAATTCATCTTTCACAAATGACAATCATCCAAAGGTATAGTTTTTATCCTGGTCTGTACCAAGTCGTGTTCATCTTTTACCCTTCTCTGTACTGACCTACAATAATTCCTCATTCCCCAATGCCTTCAAATTAGAATCACAGCCTCTTGTTCAAGTCCCCCATCTCTCTCTCTCTACCTCTGTATCTTCAAACCCACATATTACCCCTATCCTATCACAAAAAAGAAACTTTGGATGGAATCTATTTTTGAGATTAGGTTTTGGCGTGGATCTGAAAAGTGGGAGATACTCCTGCGCGGGGGCAAGTCAGGTTGCCTCACATGAGTATGTTCTTCTCAGCTCATTGCATATGCCTGCACGATTGAAACACCAAATCTTATGTTGGCAGGCAGGCAGGAAGTTCTGAAGGCCCTGAGATCCCAGACTCCACTTTATTTTCTGCAAGTTGCCTCACCCACTTCAAAGGTGTCTGACACCACATAGAAAGTTGCTCCATGCTTCAGAAATACTTCCCTAGATGTTCCTTTGCAGCCTGTCTGGAAGAGAAGGGGAACACTTTTTCCACGAAATGGCAACAGGAGAAGCCATCCTGACTGAACTCATGTGGGTACAGAGGTCAGTGCTTGTTGTGGTCATTCTCCTTAAGCAGACCCCAGAAAGACTCAAGTATGCAGGTTAACTTCATGTTTATTCAAACAATCTCAGTTTAGACAGACTAAACAGAATTCTGTCTAATACCCTGTCCTAGATCAGCCTGTCTCTGTTCCACCTCTGTCCAATCCTGGTCTGATGTCTGTCCAATACATAAAGAAAATCCTCAATCTTTATATGAATGTATTGTTTACATTTCATTATTGTACAATAAACAGAAATCTTCCACCCTAGGTCTTTCCCTTATCTGGTCTATGGGAATCTGTTTACATCCTAGTTTGCTCTCAAGCTTGATATGCGCTTTAGAATGTACAAATCTGACTTGGACAATTAGGATTCATGCTCAATGAAATATATCTTGCAGTACTTCCATTAGAATGCCCTTTCGTAAAATCTTGTTGAATTCCTACCAGGGCACTCATGATCAGCAAAGGAGAACCTGGACCAAGTGTTGCCTGAGGATGAATGCTAACAAACCAGCCATGAAGAAACTGGATGTTGCGAGGGAGCTGGAAGCACCACGTATGCTCTTGATGGTCCCTTGAATCTTAAGGAACCCAGTAAATGAGACAAATCCAGTGACTCAGGTAACTTGGCTCTCTGGTTCAATGTGAACAGATAAATGTGCTTTCCTCAGAAGACCATCTGTTAACTCACAAATTCACTTCTGTTTGACTGAATCAGAGATACCACATGATACTAGAAAGGAGCCTGTGGCCAGCAAATTCAGCTCTGCTGTAACCTTCCACACCATAAGCACAGCCATTTCCTCCCAACCACATTGCTGTAAATTTAGTGACTCTTGGTGGCTGCATTGCAGCCCTGAAACCTTGGAATCAACCACACCCAGCCTGGCTTTACCCCCATGTCCATAAGATTCAGCTCCTACATAGCTTCACATAAACCAACAACACCACCACCATCTCCTACGTTTTTGACTGTGAGTTAACCTTGGGCTCAGAGTTCAATGTGTTAGGGGGCCTGGTAGAGATGTTAGTGTTATGAGTAGCCTGTTTACCTTGATGGTGCAGTGAATGCTTCATTTCAACGTATAGTCCTTTACTGAATACAATCTGTTTTTGGTTTCTGTTGCACTTTAAACATATTTGGGTATTTGAGCTATGTGGGCACTTATGGAAATTGACCTTAAGCCCCTCCCATTTCTACAGCATGTTCTGAACAAGGGTTGAGATTCACCCCGAATCTTCCCCCTCAAATCAAACTCCCCATGCCATCACGGTAGAGGTTCTTCTTTCCTCTGGTGTCCCCACGATCTTGTTTCAATTTCCTGCTATACCTAAAGCCCTATGCACAATTTCCTGATCTTCCCCCTAAGCACACAGCCACATGTCCAACCTTGGCCGTGCACCATTCCTTTTTCAATTTACCTTCCTCACACTCACCAGCTTACTTCATATCCTCATTGTGTTTCCTACTTTGAATATGGAGCTCCCCCCGCCTTTCCCGTGTCTCCCATGCCCCTATCATTGTGATTCTCCCCACTGACTCCTAGTTGCATACTTCAATTTCCCAAGATTCCCAAACACATTCTTTAAATTTATCTCATACCTGTCATACTTTCCATAACTTTTCTATTGAGCGTCTTTTCTGTTGAATCTCCCATTCCTGCCCTGCATAGGTTTGTAGGTATCAGCCGGTGTGGCTGCCTCACTTGGGCAGGCTGCAAGGTCTGCATCCCGTACACTGCTAAGAGTAGACAGCAACAAAGGCCAATTATGAATGAGACCGCTGATGAGTTGAGTTGAGCTGGTAGTCTGCATCCTGCTCACCATATGAAGTCTACTTTGCTTTGATTTAATAAAGCTTGTGAACAAACACTTTTCTCTTTTTTGCCTAACAAGATTGTGCCTGTCAATGTAATTTTAGCAGGCTATGGTGTTCATGGCATTCCAAGAGCTCCAGGTGGAATTCAGAGATTTCATGCTCTGTGCTCTTCCAACTTGTTCATCCTTTACTTCCGTTACAAATACTTGGCAGCCATACTTCATTTACATAAAGCCTCAGGTCTGGAATTCCCTCTCTATATCGCTGTTTGTCTATTTCTCTCTGTCCTCCTGAAAACCTTTCCTTGTTGGCCCAGCTTTCACTTGACTGAATATCTTAATAACCCTTCCTTTATTTCCAGTGAGAATTTTGGTCTGATTACACTTTTATGCAATGTTTGAGGACATTGTCTTAGGCTAGAGGCATGAGTTACAAGTCATTATTTAAAAAATATGTTTATTGGTCATCATCACAAATTAATAAATACATGACTTTAAAGCAGGTTTTGAAAGTGATTTAGTGCTCATCAAATTCTCAACTTTTAAACAGGAGGGAGAATTCAGAATATAACTAATGCTCAATCCAAAATTGCCTGGTGCACACTGTTTCCAATGATTATGATTATCCACACTGGGGAGGTGATGGCTCAGTGGTATTATCACAAGACTATTAACCCAGAGATCTAGGTAATATCCTGGGGACTTGGGTTCAAATCCTGCTACAGCAGATGATAGAATTTCAATAAAATTCTGGAATTAAGAGTCTAATGATGACCATGAATCCACTGTTGAATGTTGGAAAAATGCATCTGGTTCACTAACATCCTATAGGGAAGGGAAATGCCACCCTTGGTCTGACTTACATGTGACCCACAATAATCTGGTTGACTCTTAAACTGGGCAATTAGGGATGGACAATAAATGCTGGCCTAGCCCTTGTGATGTCCTCATCACATGAATGAATTTAGAAAAGATATCCAAAAGGACAGAACATTATTCAGAAATTTTTTGGGTTTGACCAAAACATACATTCAGGAAACATGACGTTCACCAATAATGGTCAAACATAATCAAATATTCTCACGCTTTCAAAATGTGAAAAAGTGAATGAAAAGAATTTTGTAAAACCATAGGGTGTGCACAGTGCCTGAGACATCAATGCCAGAGATGCTATTTCCTGCATCAAAGATTAGGGCCATCTGTAACACTGACCAATTCAAAGCTATTTTAACAACTGTGGAACAGCAAAATGTATTCCTTTCAAAGATTTGTCTCATGTGCAGTGACTTAATTGTTATGAGAACTTACTCTGCCAGCCTTGTATCAAAGTTGAGAATTGTAGCTTTTATAGAGCCATGTGGAGCAGTGAGGTGAGTGGCTAGTGGACCATGAGCAGGGCAGCAAGCCAGGGAGGCGCAGTGCACCAAACAGGTAGCACGGTGGCCAGACAAGTCCCAAGTGTAGCTGGCCGGTGAATCAAGCACCGAGAGAATCAGGGCAGCAAACCAAGCGCTCAGTGGAGCTAGGCAGGAAATGGCAGTGCAAGCACAACGATGATGTCAGTGACAGTGCACATGCACATATCGTGCAGTAGGTGCCAACTTCCTGTTCCAGGTACACATCAATAAGCGCAAGCATCAACAACTTCTGGACCAGTGTGGTGGCGGGAGATATACCACTTTGTAAACTCTCCATCATACAGCAGCAATTGTGGATGTTTAAGGGGATAAATCTCATTCCTACTTGTGAAACAAAACTGCCAGTTGGAAGATGCGAAGGTGAGATTTTGTCAGAATCTTATTAAAATAGCTAACTATAATTAAGAAAAATTTTAGGTGGAAAATGGTAAACTGGAGAAAAGAAAGCTGCATAGTAAACCATAAAGAGCCTGCTGTGAGTTATCTGATCTAATGAGATTTCAGCTCCAAAGCAGGCTCTGTTTCAAGTTCTTAAGGGTCTTGTGACCTTAAGTCAAATAATTGAGTCTTTGAAAATACAAGAAAAGGAGTAAGTTCATTAGCTCTACTTCAACAATAACTACTTCTCCAGCCAAGCTTTCAGACACAAGGCTGGCTTCCTTTTAAGTAATTGATGTAGACTTACGTTCGCATCCAGGCTAGACAACTTCTCAAACGTCAGTCAGGAAATCAGACCGTCAATGGAAAATGGTGCATTCCTTTCACCCGGTCTGGGTCAGATCAGAAAAACACTGAATTTATGTTATTTTTGCCAAGTGCTTACATTTTCATGCCCTCCAGTTGCTTAGATAAAGGAAGTGTTTCTTTGACTATGTAAGGGTCTGACATATTTAACTCCAGCTAAGCTTCTGACAAAATCTGCTCCTGTCTTTCTGAATTGAGCAAATGAATCCGTGTTTTACAGTTTGAAAGCTGAAAGGGTTATTGAATATCACCCAGGGAGCACAAAGCGAACAAGTTCTCATTTCTTCCTGAACTTGTGTGCATTTCCCCTTGCAAACTGTCTAGGCCTTCAACCTTCATTTCTCATTCTCTCCGTGGTCGCACAGGAAGGACAGCTAAGGCTTTCTGTCCAGGCTAAACAGATCGGGTTTTGTTATAAAGCTTCTTTAACCAGAAACGGAAGGGAATACTGTGAGCAAACTGGAAACTGGCAGAGCTATAACTTTTCATGGTTCACAACTCAATGTCAATATGCAAAAATTCTTCTTATTCCTGGCACTGCAAATGACATGTGGTGCAGTGTTACACTTTTTCCCACAGTTACTCTTATGCAACGTCCAAAGGTCAAAGGAAACAATTTTGGTTTTAAAAATACAAAAGAGGTCATTTGGTGAAGCAGAGCTGGCTCAGTTAAGATAGCAAAAGTATCCATCCAGCTTAAAGAGATTGATTGCCTTCCTGGCATTATACCTCGGATGTACTTCAAAACAGTCCAAATAGAAACTCCATTGTTCTCAAAGCCTGAATCCTCACTTTGTTTACTATTTATTTCTCTGTTCTCATGATGAGAATATCTTGTAGGAATACTCTATGCCAAGGTTGGAAGAATTCCTGAATTCCTAAACCAAGAATAGATTTTCACAATAAAAGGAGAGTTCTGCACATACACTTTCCTGCCTACTACAGCATACACCTGACACTACCAACTCTTCCAAGATGAAATTAGATTTTGCAGGCACACCGGGCAGTTGTCTGCAATATTCCAATTACTGGAATGTTACTTTTGGGGGTGGCATGGGATACTTGATGCTGCAAGGTTAAAATGTCTTGTAGAAGCAAGTTCCAAGGTAAAGGTTTCGCTGAATTAAAATTTCACTACCTTAAAATTACTGACATAATAAAGTCGAAATACACTCCTTAATTTACTGTTGCATTAGATAAAAAATTGCTAACCTGAAAGAACTGAGTTTGGGAAAGGGAGTCTCACATTCCCCAACAGGAAAACTGGATAGAGTGAATAGGAGCAATGACACTGTGGTTGCTATGACAAGAGAGGATCCTACCATAATTTACAAAAATGCTTAGAGCTTTCGGAACATCAGCAAGGTAATATCGTCCATGATGACTTTACACAAAGTAGATGGGGAAACAGGCATGTCACACAGAGATTCCTTCCACTCTGATGAACATAAAAGTTTTGGAATGCTCATCATGAATGACAACTGTGAAGTACAGCACAGTTCATTTCTGGGATGTATATTAACAACATTTGCCAAAATTATATCCTTTAAAGGTTGTCCGCCCCAAAAAAGTTATTTCAAATATCATCATGGCTGTGACTAAATGTATCATGCCCATGTACTCACACCCATGATAAGCTGT